GTGGCATGTCTGACTTTCATCATTTGCCCATAGATGGACTGAGGTGCATGGGTTCATCACATTCAAAGTCATGAATATGGCATCTCAGCTGTTAGCTTGTGTTCTTGGTATTTTGATATTTAATCATGTGTCTATCTATTAGCACAAATGGAAAGTGCAGCATAACGAAGGCCCTGTGGTCTTGAGGGTATGATGGATCTGTTCTGTAGCAATCAAACTCACGGCCATTGCAAAAGTGACATTTGGGGGAGGGGGAGACTGCTGTATGGTGTGAGCATCTGATTTGCTTTCGAGAGTGCTGCAGGTTCTATATTTTTATGTGCAAAATTTGTGAAGATATTTCAAAATGTATGTACTGTTTTGTATCAGTTTTCAGTGCATATTTTCAGTTATATCAATTTTCAATCAAAATTAAGTATTTTCAAAAGTTTTCAGTAAATGTTTAGAAGTAGCTTGCTTTCATTAATCCAACCATGTTAGGTAAAATACTGCTACTTATTAATATTGGCCCCAGGAAATTATTGTCTCGCAATTCACTAAATTTTGTATATAAAGGTATGGAATCTTTTGCATTTAACTTATTAGTGCTTAATGAACATTTTATTAATTTTGCAGCATACAGACCACATAAAAAATTAAATTTTGTATTTTTAAAACTGTTCCACCTCCAATGCAGAAACTAGTATGATGAACTACTTTCTTATGCTTTATAATTCAGTATTTAAGGAAAAGAAATCTCTAGTTAACTTTCTCAAATACCATATACATCATTATGTATACAAATATGGAACTTTATAAAGATGTGTGTGATTCATAACTGAAGTATGCTTTACAATTTGCAATTTAATGCCTCTTTGATTGAAAAAGTTCTATTAGTGGCGAATAAAGTCGGTTGTAAAGTTAAGAGAATACCATTTTTGGCGACAGATTTATTTCATATCTCAGTTTCAAAATAAGAAACACTGATTTTGAAAGGTGAAAAATGAGTTTGTTTTATGGGATGCCAAAAAGTAGGCCATGAAATATTACTGTTCCACATGAGAGCATTTGAAATTAAAGTTAATTTTTGGTGTGTGTGTGTGCAGTATTTCTTGCTGTTTTTGTATAGTTGTGTGACTGATCTTTTTTTGACTTCTGTATAATGTGAACTAACTTGAAAAAAAAGAGTTAAAAAAATTTAGCATTGTTGAGTTTATTAGTACAGAAATAACATGGAATGATGATTCATCTTGTGTATTATAAAAGAAGCATCTGAAATAAGTTAACGATTACACAACTGAAAATGAGGTATTTTTTGTATGTATTTAAAAAGTTTTGGTAATCTATGTAAGATAAATAATATGAAAGTAAACTTCTTAATTTAATTCGCTATAACCTCTTATATTTTTTATTTCATTTGGGAACTTCATCTATCTGTCCTAAAAATAGCACTTAAGTCTAAACTGTGTCATTCAAATTAATCATGCGATCTTACGTAACCCTTAATGCAGATGCCTCTTTACCAATTACCAAATTGCAAAACAAAACTTTTCTCTTTACGTGCTTTCATCTTGCATGGTATCCGGACATAATCCCGACAAGCCAAAATCCCGATAGGGTCAAAATACCGACACGGGCGAAATCCCAATAAAGCCTAATGACCCCTTAACATACTTCCACAGCTGCTTACGGAAGGACATCGTAATGACAAAGGGTCGGCTGACCTCACGCGAAGGTCATTTCTTATCTTTTAGGCCTTTTATAATCTATGTGAATAGGAAAGAGGGAACTATTTCACAATGACGGAATGATACAGCTCTAGGCTTTCTACATGCTATAGGGTTACATTCGTCTCGAGACAGACATTGCTCACTTGCCGGTTTATTTTTTGCTCATTAAATTGTTCCAAAATATGGCTGAAATTTGTGAAATTTTTCCGTTTCAAAAAGGAAGCAATAAAATTAATGCACGTGGTTATTTAATGGTGAAAGATAAGAATCGCGATGATTTATATTATTGGTGTTGTGAAAAAAGAAAATACGATATGTGCAAAGGTCCAGTAACAACAATATTTCTGAATGGACAACATCATCTCCATAAATTTACTCAGCATAACCATGCTCCACAAGCGAGTGCAGCTGCTATCGCAAAATGTATTAGCCAATTGAAAGAAGATGCTCGGCATACCGGAAGTGAACCGTGTCAGATAATTCAAAGCAACATCGTAAAAACCTCTCAGAACATTCGCCCATACCCTCCATCAAAAGAAGCTATTCGGAAAAAAATTAAACGGGTCAGGCAAAACGAAAGGCCACCAGAACCAAAAACATTGAATGAAATTGATATTCCAGCTACTTTAAGAAATACTTTAACTGGTGAATTATTTTTAGTGAGAGATTCTGCAGTTGGAGATGAGAGAATTCTAATGTTTACAACAGTTGCAAATGTTAAACATTTATCACAGGCACCTTATTGGATTATGGACGGCACATTTAAAACGGTGCCCACAATATTTTACCAGCTATATACAATTCACGCACCTGTTGGATCTCAAAATTTTAGAATTCTTCCACTAGTATATGCTTTGATGACTAGCAAATCTGAAGAAAATTACAAAAGATTATTCCAAGATTTAATTGATTTCGCTGAAGAAAATAATATTGAACTGAGGCCATCTAGAATCATTAGTGATCTAGAAAAGGCAGCTATAAAATGCTTCAAAATCAGAGTTCCCAACTGACATTATTAATAAGGCTTGTTTTTTCCATCTGTGTCAGTGTGGTTGGAGAAAAATCCAATCAAGTGGATTGGCTTCTCGCTACGGCACAGATGAAAGATTTAGTTTAATGCTTCGTCATTTATTTGCGTTAGCGTTTATACCAGCTGACGAAATTTCAGCAGCATTTGACACTTTACTTCCTCACTTGCCACCCGATGCTCAAGAAGTCGTTCAGTGGTTCGAAGACAACTACGTTCGTGGAAGAATGCGGCGCCGTTTGCGTAATGGCATTGCCGTTCGCGTTTTCCTCGATGTTCCCACCAGCACTCTGGAGCGTGTTTGATTCCCTACAACTGGGAGCTCCGTGCACTCAAAATGCTGTCGAGGCTTGGCACAGAAGATGGGAGACTTTAATTGGACGGGCCATGTTGGCGTTTATAACATCATAGAAGGATTTCAAAAAGAACAGGAGAATGTGAAATACCAAGTTGAATGCTTTCTTCAAGGAGAACAACAACCAAAATGTAGGAAGGTAGATGATGACAGAGAAAGGAGAATTATGACTGTTGTGGACGATTGTGATAATCGACCTGTGATGGAATATCTTCGTGGTATCGCTCACAATGTGTCACTGTAAATATGTCGTTTGTATGTGTAAGTGATGTTTTCTTTTTCTTAATAAAATGAATTTTATAAATCTTCATTTCAAATTTTAACGGTCATTTCAATTTGTTAAAAATTATTTTAAGTAATGACATAATTTTTATGATTTTTTGATTTAAACTTTTAATTAGTAATATGTAATAGTTAGTTAAAATTGTATTTTATTAAGCTAAATTGAGTGTTTGTATTTAGATATTAACTTGTTGGGGTTTTGGACAGTCGGGATTCTGGCTTGTCAGGATTTCGGCTGTCGGGATTATGACCCAGACCCATGTTGCATAACCACACACTTCAGCTTTGCCCTCTACTCTGCTAAGATCTAATTTCGCTGGCTTGCTTTCTATCTCAACAATATCAAAAATGTAAATCTTCTGTGGAAAGGCACGATTAGAAGGCCAAGTGATTGTGGCCACAAATATCAATTGGAAATAAAAATGGAATTAAAACTGCATTGACTACCAAGTTCTTTGGATATTGCCAAGTTAACATTATTGGCACACTGCACAATCAAAGTTCTTCAATATGGATCTAAGCACGCATCGACACTGCTCTGGCTTTTCCTTGTGCTTTTATTATTGCATCTATATCTGCATTTATATTTGAAGCAATTTCTACATTTATTTATTTAATATGTACAATTATTTGTATTGAAGTAGAAAATGTAATTTTAGTATATTTTGTTCTTAAAGTACAGCTCAAATACTTTGTACAGTATTTGTGAATAATAAAAATATTCTATGCAGTATTATAAATATTTTTTTAAAGAAAAAAAAAATTGATTCCAAATGTGAAGTTGAAAGGAATAAAATAGCAACTGCAAAAAATGAAGATATTTTTATTCAAGTATTAATTTATAAAACAGTTTTAAGTGAAAATAAACTAATCGACACTTGATTTCAACATATCATTATATTGGAGGATGAATCTTTATTCAGAAACACTTCTTATGGTTTTTTTTTTTTTTTAAATAAGAGTGCATAAAAAGTGTCTGGTTAATGGTGTTAATTAATTATACATGCTGATTTTCAAATTTAATATAGTGTATGCATGAAATGCTTAATTTTTGCACTTTAAAAACTAACTTGTAATTGGAATTTCCATGTGTATGTATATATACCTGATTATTGATTGTAATAATTAAAATTAATTTAAATTAAAATTTCTCTAAAAGCTATATTAAAATTTTTTTGTAATTTTATTAAACATCTTTTTTGCAGCAAAAAATTTATGTATATAAAAGTTTTCAGCAGAATATGCCTATTAAAAGATTATTTGATTTGTACATTTATTATGAAATATGCTTGAAAAATTCTTGAAAATATTTGTATTTATATTGAGTAATACCCATTTTTGTTTTCAAGCGTATTAAAAATTAAGCTCATAGATAATTGTTTAATTAGCTACATTATTTGCTATTTAGTGTGCCATCAAATTAACAGGCAAATTAGATAGATGCATTTGATGCATACTTTATCACTTATTAATAGTCTTACATAGTAATCTGTATAAATCGATTGATCAGAAATAGCCTTTTATATTAATTACATTACAGTAACTGTTTGATTATTTTAAAATATATATATTTTTGGATAAACACAGTTTTTACAAAGTGTTCCAATTTTTTGGAATGTTTGTTTAGGTATGAAAGTCTTAAAGGTTACTACAAAGGACTTGTGCCAAACTTGCTGAAAGTAACTCCTGCAACAGCTGTAACATTTGTTGTTTATGAGAATGTTGCTAAAGTCTTGTTAAAAGGAAAAGATTCATTAAAGACATAAACTGATTTATGTAATAAGATTCATAGAAGCACAATTACTAATATCTAATTAGTTTGCAAATAAAAAAAAAAATTAGTTTCAGATTTTTGTCATGCTTTCAGATATCTATTACATAATTATCCATTGTTATGCAAAATAATACAGAATATAGTTCATTATTTAATTCTTTTTACAAGTTTTATTTATTTTAAACCTTAAGTTTATTTTAAATATTTGTTATCTGATTCCAAGTATTTTTAGATTATTGAAAATGTTTTGTAGATTGTACAATATGTCCCAAATAAAATGCAGTTTAATTTTACCATGTATTTATTGCAGTACATTATTAGACTAGCTGTTATGCTTGCAATTTGGATGCTATTCTGTTTTCCGCAGTTCTTGTAAAATATTCAACATGATACTTCTTGCACTTATCATTGAGCATTATTTCACTTTTCAATCTCATAAAACTGTTTGTGAAAGCTAGTTGTTAAGTATTTGGTGAATACATTGTGATGTGAATGTATCAAGAAATTTTTTCACCCAAAATCTGATTGTTTTATTAAAATGTGTGGTGGGTAGCGTTCATACCCGAGGACAAATATCTAGAATCGACCGCTTGCAGGAGACTTGATATCTGATCTAAGGAGTGAGCGTCGGAACCTGGCCCATAGGATGAATATCTGGAACTGACCATTTGCTAGAGGGAAAGGCAGGAGACCCGATGTTCGACCGAAGAGCAGGGATTGAGGAAATGAAGACAGACACATCAGCCGAAGGACCTCCGACCCAGGTCCATATTCTAGAGGACCCATACAGAGTTTGGAATATTCCCATCGTCTGTGGGACCTCGTCCTCGCAGGCGCAACCCCCGCAGTCCCCGCCCAACATTTACAAAGCATTGGGCAGAACTAAATCGTTGCAAAATCAAAAATTCTGTCACCTTGCCTCTGGGCACCACTCCATCGGCAAAAATTCCATTGCTTGTGGGTGCTTTGTCCACTCTGTCAGTCCCCGCCATGAGAACTGAATGGGGTCAAATAGCCGAGGACTCAGTCGATGATCTCCGATATAGCTCCATCACAGCCGAAGGAACAAACACGACAGTACCAGTATGGTCCCTGCCAAGACAACCCAACTCAACCTGAGTACAACACTCAGGTTCTAGTTCTGTGAAGTCAAATTATATACCCCGTGGTTGAGACTGCCTAAGTACAGATCCTAACCAGTACTTCCCAGGTGTTTGCCTGATTCAACCCCCAAGGGGGGAGGAAATGGAGACAGGGAAACCTGCTCTCATCTCCCTCAGTTCAGCATCGGCCTCCTCGTGCCACCCACTGGTAACTGTCAGCTGGGGTTTCGGCCTTCGCTGGGATAGCCTAACAATGCTGGACAACCCATCCCTTGGGATCAACTGGTAGGAATTTCCAGAACCAACCATTTTTGGGAGGAGACCCAGGGTTCTTCCAGACCACTGGGTGGACTTTTGTTGTGATAGCTTCAGTTCCTTGGGTATATAATCAGTCTTCATAGTGACTAGAACCATTGTTTATATGGTGGTAGGTGCAGGCTTGGCAGGGATCGTACTGGTACTGTATTGTCTGTAACCTTGGATGTGGGGACGCTGCAAGTAGATATTAAGGGCTGTTCGGGGAAGACATTGGCCCCTGGTCAGGGCTCGGCGATGGATGATGGCAACATGTAAAGTCCCCGTGAGCTGATCGGAGGGTGTGGTTCCCCTCCGGACAGTCTCCGAAGGCAGGATTTTTATAACTATGTAAGGCAGCTCAAACGAAGCAGCCAGGTAATGGATATCCACTTTTGGTGAACTGTATTAAAATGTGTATGTAATAATAATAAAATTTCATTGCTCTATTTTCTGTGTAAATTTTTTGTTTTACTCTTGCATTTTACTTGGGATGTGCTGTATGGTCAGACCAATACGCTACAATAATATTTTAATAGAATACACATTAAATTTTACACATCTAGCAAGTATTGTTACATCAAATTACTTATTGTTTCTGATGATAAATTTCCAGCAGAAGATTCAGAGCCATGACTCTTGATAGCTAGAAAAAATATATTTCAATATCAGCAATTATCCTAAGTATAGTGATATCCAAAATTAAATTCCAAAAGACATTTTAAATTAGTTTGTTGGTTATCAATAAGCATCTTGTGGTTTCTGATGCTTTTGTGAAAAGCATTTCATGAGAAAGTTGTTTCATATTTTCGTTAGACTTGGGGGTGGGAGAACCTTATGTAGATAGCCAAATTGCAGATGAATTACTATTTTTTCATGACTTGGACAATGGTGATCCAAATATTTTTAATGAAAAGCAGTATTGCAGAAATTTTGGTATATAAACAAAATTTAATAAACACTTGCAAAAACCAAAAGTATATAGCCATTTTGATTATGTCACATTCTAAACTTTTGAACTGATTACACTAAAACGACACAGAATGTGATCACATCTTAATTACTGCATTAAATGCATACACAACAGAAAAATGACGTCAGCACGAATAATGGAATTATCTTTTGTAATAAAGGTGTTTTCTAACTGTGCAAAGATAGCTAAATATATGCATTTCAACTGACTAGGGGTACAAAAGTGTGTTTAACAGTGGTCTTGAAATCTGTTTAAACAATTCTGACAAAAGGGATCACATGACCTAGGGAACTATTGATTTTGCCAAAATTTTGCGTAATTATAGGATATATTAGATTAGATGTAGCATATACGAATATTTCTAAAATATAAGTAAGAAAATCTTCACAAAAGTATTAGTAATTATTACAAATGACTATTTGTAAAATTTAGATAATCTCGTCTGATGAAATTTGAATTGAATATAAATGTCTTCCTCCCCATGTACTTGTGTGCTGTTTGTCTGTTACCAGCTTTCTTGTCTCAGTTCCATTTGCTCGCCTCTGTACCTCATGAGTAATGCAAACCTTTTAACACAATGTTCTGATATTTTAATTGGGTGTAACAGCAAATGAGATTATGGGCTTATGCTTGGAAAATTTTTCTTTTCTGGACTGTGGTCTGGGTCTTCCCCCTGCAAAGTGCTAATATTTTAGTTATTTGCGAGAAGGAGTACTCTGGCACAACAGAAGAGTGCCACCTTTTGGATTTGCCATAAATATGAGAATTTGGTGGCTGTCTTTCTTGTTATAGACTATTGGCTGGTTTTTTTTTTAATTTAAGAAAACAAAACTCTTTGTGTTCCACAAATTATACTATAGTGCTTACAGAAGTAAGTAAATAAACAATAATACATAGTATCTAACTCTGGAGAGAATAAGGAATGTATACAATAATATAAATACTGCTATAATAAGAATATTAAAATAATAAATAATTACGAATAATAAAACTATGATACTACTACTAAAAAGAAAAAAAAAATAATAATAGATGGTAATACTAACAAAGAGATATGATACAAAATGAATGTGGTTTCTTTTCAGGCATATTATATATTTCCTAAAAATCGGACTAGTATCTAGCGATTTTTATCTCTAGCGGAGTAGTTTGTCCATATAGAAACACCATGTTGCAACACTGAAAGATGCTTCAAACATTTATTTTTAATGAAGTAATTCAAAAAGAACACGGAAAGGGGAAATTTTTATTTTTAAATTAATTTTCATTTCACTACAGCAAGACTCGCTCAGATCTATGTGCAGTATGTGTGTTTTTGCTAATGGTGTTGGAAATCGGCCTCACTCTCATAGGATTTGAAGTAAAGCGACATATGAAGTCCAGCAGTGTAAAGAATTTAACTGAAGAGACATGTTTTCTCTTTTGGATTTTTGCGGCTATGTTCGCGAGTGTGCGACGCAGCAATGTTAAGTTTGATCCCTTCAACTGTATAATTCCTTATGCTATTAATTAAATGTAATTTAATCGTTAAATGGATTTCTTAGTGATTTATTTAAATGATTCGACGGCTGTTAAGCATCAGTTAGATGCGCATAAGCCCCTTTAGAATAGTTCGATCCTACAGATGCAAACTTTAAAAGTTTGCACCAAAAGATGGGTTTTGCGCAATTTATTATCCAACTCGCAGCATGGAAGAATAGGCCATTGCTTAATTTCTGATTGATGCTCTTTATTTAACAGAAATTTCGTAACGAAAAACAGCTGCTGAATTGTATATAGAACGACTTTTAAAGACATCCATCTCACATATGGAACTCTCAAGCAAAATTCTGGAGGGACAAATAACATGATACTGTGTATGTTATGACAACAATTCTGGAATATGATGAACAGTTGTCGACATGTACAATTCAGCTTATGGCACTTGAGGTGGGAAGGGTCTTTTAGCAAGAATATGACGTATCTAACAATAACCAACATGCTTTAGGACCTTTTGAGAAGTTATATTAATAACATGAGATGAATCACTTACAGCTGATGGTCGATATTTCAAATGATTTTGTAATATCAAGGTGATAATCTCTTCTTTCGACCAAGCACCAGACTTCCTTTTGCATTCACGTCATAACAACAACACTTTGATAATGCTGGACTAAGCTTCAATGAAACTGCAGACAGCGATAATAAAGTTTTTGCGTATTTGCGCTAATTATTAAGTAGAACTTCTTGTTTTTGCTATTTAAATGCATAAAGTTATTTCCTTTAAGTTGTTTTACTCTCAAGGTATTGTTAGTTATTAATCAATAATAAAAATATTGTAACGAAACAAAAACAAAAGAAATACTGGCATTATTGGCGATAATCAAGGTGATTATTTTCCAGTTAAATTCCTGGCTTTCCAAACACGGTTTAAATTAACAACGATAAATTAGAGAAAACTCAGCATTTAATTTGTGTCACTAATGTGATTTAAATTGCGTTTACATATTTTAATATAAAGCGCCTAAAGACGCATCACAAAATTTTCCCACTTTACGTCATGAATCTGCATTTCGGAAAAAATGTACTCAGTTTTTGTATCACAACACCGCTACCTATTAGTCCTGAAATAGTGGCGCCTAAATTAAGTCTGTAAAACTCATTAAGGACACCGATAATTTTGAATGCTTTTCGCTTGAACCAAGGAACTTGAGTTCAGTTAAATAGCAAATTGCGCTCTTCCTTAACTTTCTGATTTGAAGGAGCGTATTGTTTTATTCTGTCTATTATAATTAATCACACTTTACAGTTTTAGTAAATGATAACATCTCCGTTTTACACTTTCTCCGAAACAGTGCATATCGGGATTTTGCACGCACAGAAGTGCAAATAAAGTAATTTATAGCCAGATACGAAATTTCATGATAATGATGGGCCCACCACCGGTTGAGCGGTAAAGTTGTTCGGTCCAGGGCTCGAATCCCGGCAAATAGGCTGACTGCATGGGCGTTTTCGTTACTTATATGAAACGTTTATACGAGCTAGTTTCCCATAGAAAGTCATTCACGAAGGCATCGATCCTCTTAGGCAGATAGCCATCGCTTGCTTCGCCATGATAAATCAAATCAAACTGAGATAACCGCGAATCTGAAATTTTTTGAATATCACAAGAAAATGCGAAATTTTTCTATTAATGGAATATGAGAAGAAATGCTAAATGAAACTAATGCAACTGAAGTCTTAGACTGCAGTGACAATGACTCAACTATCAATCAATTAACGGTACAGAGAATATCGCCATTTTGATTTCAAGTCACATTTTAATTTCACGTTGCGCTGATTCAGGGAAAAAACACAAAAAACTTTCTTAATGCAAAATACCTCTTGCTTAAAGAACTAACGCTAAAAAAATTCCTTTTTGATTATTTCTACATCTAATCTTAATGCATTTAAGAACTGATGACCCAAAATCCGGAATCACTAAAGTCCCAACGGTTCCCGACCCAGAATTTATACTACACTATCTACCAATAAGTATTTGGATGCAAATGCTGATGTCTGTGATCCTGATATACGTTACGCGTTCTACCATTAAATGTCATGTAAGAAACAACATTTGCATTAGTCGCATGCAAGATGTCACGAAGTGCACAGTTACCTAATTTCGAGAAAGGTGTAATTGTCAGGTATTGCAAAAATGGCAGATCTTTAAGGGGTATAGCTAGTGAGCTGAATTACCCAAAATCGGCAGTGACATATGCAATACCGAAGTGGAAGTTCAGCGGGGATTGTCAGAATGTGCTACGAGTCGGTAGAGCCATGAAACTAGAAGATATAGACCGATGGGTGCTGTCAAGAGAAATTCGGAAGAACCGCACCTAGTCGAGGAGGAGGTTCAATAGGCATCCCGGAGTGTTGTTTCGATGAACACTATCATTATAGAAGCAAGTCTGCTTGGTTTCCACGGTCGTGCTGCCGCTCATAAGCCTTTGATCACAAAGTCTAACCGCGCTGCTCGGTTAATGTAGCATCGCCAGTGGACCGTACATCAGTGGAAACGGTTCTCTGGAGCGATGAATCAAGGTTCACCTTCTATGGTTCGGATTGAAGGGTCTGGCGTCTGCCTGGAGAACGCCTCTCAGAATACATTTTGCCCACAGTAATGGTGGGCGGAGGTGGAATTACGGTCTCGGGATGTTTATTCTGGTATTGATTAAGATCCTTGGTCAAAATTCATAGTAAGCTTAACGCCGACGCTTACTGCACCGTTTTGTATGACAGTGTGTTTCCTACGCTGTGGCAGTTTTACGGGTTGTAGCCATGTTACTTTCAGGACGGCAACGCCAGCTGTCATGTTGCGAGGTCCACCATGGATTGGTATGGTGACAATAGGTTAACCGATTGGACTGAGGAATAGAGTGACCTGCCCAAAGACCAGACCTGAATGTCATCGAAAACCTCTGGAACGAGTTGGATCGCCGAATTAAAGGATGCAACAATGGTCTTCAAACCGTCAAACTGAGAAACATTTTTTCTCCAAGCCGAATGGAAGAAAATCCGCCATACAGGGACTTCTAGAAAGCAAACTCCGGAGGGTTGAGGCTGTAATTGCCGCTCGAAGAAGATGTTGAATAACTATTGAATATTAATTAATTTTGTTTTTCTTTTCCATTACAGGTGTCCGAATACTTACT